TTGTTACCAAAAAATCTAAAAAATACACAAGCATAGTTTATTTTTATAGTCATTTTAGGTTCAAATTTGGACGAAACTACATAAAAAACCTAGAATAACTATTTTAGTTATTTTGTTGTGATTGTATAATGTTATTCGTGGGTACTTGAAACTTCTAAAGTACACTATTATATATCTATGATAGTATCAGGGTTTGTTGTTGATGTATAACGCGTTATAAGTACCTAATAGATATTGTGATATGATTAATTTGGAATTTATTATAGGTCAATTTTTTTAATACCATAGATAAGTATATAATAAGTATGTCTTATACGTAGACTGACAACCGTCTCAGACAAACCTCTCAGAATCCTTTTTCTTATACAATTATATTATATTATTGAATTCAAATTTAATACCATCCATTATACAGTGACCCAGTTGTAACCTACTGTACAGCAGAGCACCTTCTTTTTATCAAAATCCATAAAGCTTTAACAAATATTTAGTATTTACCAATGTTAATACAATCCTTTTTTTATTTATTCTTTTAAAAATATAATTTACTAAACTAAACATTTTTCAAAAAAAATTGTCAATCTTGTTGGGAGTGGCGCTCATTCAGATTGTTATATTGTTATCAGTATTATGTTTATTCTATAATAATATTAGCTAACTAGCTAACAAAATATATATTATGCTGTATATTATACATATATGTTATTGCACAGAGCCCACTATAGGGCATGATATATTATCAATAGAAATAAAGTATTTGTAACGTGTTCAATACGAGTACCTATACTAGATAATATATAATAATATGTTATATAATATGACAATTTATTCGATATTAAATATTAATTTTAATGTAAGACACTAATTATTTCATAAGCTTTGAACGTTTTTTTACACCATTTTAAGTCACTAAAAACAACAATTTCTGAAAAATTAAAATATTTATAAGTGTTAGGAACCAGGTACTAGGTAATAAATTACTTGTCCAAAATTGGATTTTTATAGATCAAATACTCATAATAATTCAAATAATATTAATAATAGATATTTCTTTTGTTTTTCACTGTGCTTTTGAAAACTACTGGGAAATTTTTACTTTTGACCCCCAAAGTACCAACCAGATTGATTCAATTTCCTGTCAGAAAAGATGAAAAGGTACTGTTGAAGAAAATCCAAGCATTTTTACTGTCCTAAGTAGGTAATAGGTTTATGGATACATATTGATATGGTATAAAAATATGATGTGCTAATGCAGGGGTCTCCAAACTTTTTTATTCAAGGGCCACAAAAAAAATCAAATGCTCTTGGTGGGCCAAAAGTTTATTAACACATATAATTTTTAATTTTATGATAATATATTAGGTACCTACCTATATAAATAATATAGGTAGGTTTATATTTTTGTATAAAATATTGTTTACTTTACAATATACTTAAATAAAAATAAATAGGTATAAATATAATATAATATAATTACATTTTTGAAATAATTTTTTTATCTATATTTACCTATGCGTCCTATGAGGGCCACGGGCCGGTTAAAACTTGTTCTCGGGCCGTAGTTTGGAGACCCCTGGTCTATACTTAGCAGTTGTAATAAATTATAAAACAATTATTTGCACAACTTGGCATTGATTTTTCAGCCTTCCAAGAGAGTCCTACTAATTATTTTTTATTACGAATTAGAGTACTCAAGAGTTATTTTTTCATTTAACTCAAAAAAATTTGAATAAAAAATGTTTTCATATTTTTCAACGACTTGTGTCGTTGGTGTTACTGTTTTTAATAATTTTAAACTCAAAGTTATATTCATCAAGGTAAGATTTTTAAAAATTTCATATTCTTTGGATTTTTGACTCAAGTTTTATATATCATATTTTCAAATTTATCATTTAAAATCTTTAAATATTTTTTATGTCCATTTTTATCAAAAAATAATAAACAATTATTTTTATAATTTATATAGGTACATATAATTTAAATTAAGTTAGAAGTGCCATTCAATAATTTATAATTATTCTAGTAATTGCTATAAGGGTAGTAATAACTAAAAAACTCCATAAAATTTAAACATATTATATATTTTGATACTATAAGACATAAGTCATAACTCACAAATCTTGTTAATTTTTAAAATGTGTACAAATTAAAACAAAATTATATAATATAAAAAACATTATAGATGCCAAATTTAAACCGCAAGAGAAGTGCAGTATGGAATCATTTTAGTATTGAATCCCTTACTATTGCTAAATGTTCTTATTGTAAGGAAGGTGTTAGGTAAAGTGGTGGGTCAACAAGTAACCTTATGCGCTATCTAAAAATTAAACATGTCACTGTGCCACGTAAAAGACCACTGCTAGTAAATGATGACAATATTGATGACAAATCGGACCCCGACGTGCCAGCGTCTACAAGTGCCTCTGTAAGTACAGGTTCATCAAGGGTAGTTTCTGAAGCAGCAGGGCCATCACTGCCCATCAGCATCAAATCTACCTAAACAAAGTGCCATCACACAGTATATAAGTAAACCAATTTCTCTCACAAAATCAAAAGCTATAGAATTACAGATCACTAAATTTATCGTCAAACATTTTTATCCTTTTTCATTGGTAGAAGAAACAGAATTCCGTAATCTGATTAAGATGCTTGCACCAAATTACATTGTACCTTCTAGAACAGGGGTCTCCAAACTTTTTTATTCAAGGGCCACAAAAAAAATCAAATGCTCTTGGTGGGCCAAAAGTTTATTAACACATATAATTTTTAATTTTATGATAATATATTAGGTACCTACCTATATAAATAATATAGGTAGGTTTATATTTTTGTATAAAATATTGTTTAATTTACAATATACTTAAATAAAAATAAATAGGTATAAATATAATATAATATAATTACATTTTTGAAATAATTTTTTTATCTATATTTACCTATGCGTCCTATGAGGGCCACGGGCCTGTTAAAACTTGTTCGCGGGCCGTAGTTTGGAGGCCCCTGTGCTAATGTATTATTAATGTCGTTCTTATAGACGTTCGAACCAAAAAATAAAATTGATAATAGAAACGTTTGTTTGGCCATTGGGTAATATTATCGTTTCCTGTATTAAATGTAAAAAAAAATCGCTCTGCTGTACAGTAGTATACAAGTGGATCGCTGTAATGGATGGTGTTAAATTTGAAACCAATGATATAATATCATTGTATAAGATAAACGATTCTGAGCGAAAACGGTCAGTCAGCCTATAATATTACTAAGTATATTTGATGATATTATTGTGAACATAGGAGTGTTTACGAGAGGGGCCGGGTGGGTACTGCCCCCCCCCCCGACAGACTGTGCCTCCAACAAAATCATGCCAGGATAAAAAAAAAGTCGTGTGGTGTGTACCCTGCAGTACCTATAGATATTTTGATTAACTATATTTTTTTTAGTTACGCATTTATTAATTAGTGATTATATTATCAAATAATTTTTTTTTTTTTTATTGAAATAAATCTACAATCTATACATTAATTTTTGTACAATAAGTAGGTTTGGTAAGTGAATAATAAAAGGTTAACATGAATCATGCGATTAGTTAGGATACCCAGTGGTAATACCCTATAATACCTAACAGGTATAATAATCGTATAATATGGGGGACGGAGTGGCCAAGCGGTCTATTTTTTTTTTTTGATATTTATATAAAAAAAAACTTTTTAAAATAAGTTTGTGTTTAATTAGGTTTTTTGGTTAGTTAAATTGTTCTATTCGTTGAACTCAACAATTATAATCGAATTGATTTCAATATGATATAAATGTGTTTCATAAAGTACCTCAATTGTATAATATAAAATAATATACACAGTGGTGCTCACAGGGTAGTCATGGTAGGCACTTGACTACTCTGCGAACTTTCTCCCCTCAATATTCATTATTATTATCATGATAATTGATAGTCAATCATAAAATACTTTTTTAGTATCGTAAATGTAGTTAAACGAGGTTACCCCATCCAAATTAATTTAATAACTTAGATAGTTAGATGTGAATATGAATATATACGTAATATGTGTTATGTACTAGCCACTAGGTAATGTATGATTACGCTGCCAGAAATTCTGCGAAATCCTTATAAAATACATCTAAACGTTCATAATTATCCATCTAATGGAATTTTGGTCCTTTGGGGGTCAAAAGTATAATTTTTATAGTAGTTTTCAAAAGTGAAAAACAAAAGAAAAAATTAAAATAAAACGGGAATTTGTACACAAAATCTGTTTTCGAAAAAAACAATTTTGGTTTTAGTGCAACTCTTAAATAAATGACCGTAGATACATGAAATTTTGACAAAATGTTTATAGTAGTTTTAAAAAGTGAAAAACAAAAGAAAAATTAAAATAAAACGGGAATTTGTACACAAAATCTGTTTTTAACCTACTGTTGCGTACTAATAATTCCTAATAGTAAAATAAATTACTTTAATCACTATATTATTTATAACTGTCTTTGCTCAGAATCGTTTTTCGTTTGTTCGTTTGTATTTTAATAATTTATTCATGAATTTATTATTATTACTAATAATTATAGTAGGTATGTTTATTTTATTTCATTAACTTATTTAATACTATACCAATAAATTATATATTAATTAATAATTTTTGAAACATTGTGTTCGAAAAAATAAAAATAAATGTGATTTTAATTAGAGTCTTGTATTGTACCTGCCTATATGCAAAAAATAAATAAATGTAATAATAACTGTTGAATTTTTAGGGACATAAATAGGTAACGCATTCGTGTATGTATTAAGGTGCGTCTCCACCAAAACGCACGGCCGCACGAACGGTTTCGTACGTCGTTCGATCGTACGACACCGTACGTTCAAAGCCAATGTCTACACCTAATCGTACGAATATGTGTACCGTGTACGCATGTCTCTCCTGTTCGCTTGATTTTCGCCAGTTAGCTCCGTACGCTTGAATAGAAAACGTGTCTACTATTTTATTCTAACTATGAATAATCAACTAGTTAATGAAAGTTATGACTTCGACACTATGGCAGCTTGCGCTGGGTATATTATCATTCATTCTTTACTGAAAAAGAAAATTCAGAAGAAAAAAAGGAAATCTCCACGCTGGTGGATGACTTCTGCATTAAAAAGTAGGGAGATATACAGTGCAACTGATTTTCTACACGATTTAAATAAAGAAGACGGGGCAAATTTCAATAATTTTTGTAGAATGAGTTCAAGTACATTTAACAATCTACTTAAAATGATCTCACCTAGTATTGAAAAACAAGATACCAATTATAGAAAAGCAATCCCAGCTAATAAAAGATTAGCTATAACTCTTCGATATTTAGCTACTGGAGACTCGTACATATGACTGAAGTTGCTGTTGATTCGAGGTGTTGTGAAGGTTCTCCGCAAGATGTGTTAACGGCATGTTTGGGTGAGAGTATTGTACATTAAGACTGTTATGGGGATTGTAATTAGACGGTATTTGTGTATGAGCATTTTGAAAATAAAAAGGCTGGGTATGACCTGGCTGAGTATGACAGCGTCAGGCTGAGTATAATGTTTCATTTCTGCATTGAAAATTAGATTTTGTATCTGGTTTTCTAATATTGCCTTTTCATGTGGAGAGAATATTTTTAATTTGCTATCAATATATGTAGCAAATGGTGAATATTCATAACTTACTGCAGGTTTCTTTTCACTAATAGACTTCATGATCGCAAAGGCCTCATTTATTTTAATATCTGCATCGTCAACGTCACATGTGCGTTTTTTTTTCGAATTTTTTTTTTCAACGGGTGGATTTTGTTTGTCGTATTCATTTTCATGCATAACATGTTCTTCTGTTGATACCGTAGTAATATCTAAATCATTTTCTGATGAATTCGATGGCTCTTCAGTATTATCAACCTAAAATAATATATTATACCATGCATAACAGAATGATCTAACAAATTAAATAACTTTTGTTCCAATCAATACTTTAAATTGTTTTTTTATATATTTTATTGCAATTTACGTTACAAGCGTTCAATTATTGATTTTTAATTTTTTTTGTACTGAAAATTTAACATTTGAAATAAATTTTCTTTTTTAAATAATTCAAAATTTAATTTTTAGCATAATTTTTATGGTATAAACGTTTATCTCAGTCAAATAATTTATGTTTTCCATTTTCTGTAAATACCATTAATATAACAATATTTTATGGTGGAATTTTCCGACATATTATGTTATTAAACAATAACTTATACGATTACAATTATATTAGTAAATCTTCAAAAATTAAAATAATATAGGTATTGGTTTTATAATGTAAAATATTAAAGTGTAATTAAAATACATATCGATTGAGAAACTAGTATAGGTAACTTATAGTTACTTATAGTATCCACCTATAAGTATTTTTATATACGCAACAATATGGCAATAACTGTTGTTTAATCGTATAGGTACAATTAATTATAAGTAATAATGTTAGATTCTAAGCAAAGCTTCAACTTTTTTAGTAGTCGAAATAATGCTTTTCACTGAATGCTTCTATTCGAATTTTCTATACACCATAAAATATTCAAAATATTTTGTCTCATGTTGAGCTAATATTACAGTCATATAAATTTTTTTATTATTACCTAATAGTTGTTAGTAAATTAATTTCGAGAAAAAAGTAACCCATAATAATATTTTATGAGCATCTGAAGTTCGGTTTTTATAAAATTCGTAAAAACTACGGACATTTGAAAATTATTTTGAGTTGGAAATTTATAAAAATGTCTCTTCTTATATTTAAGATTTGAAAATGTAATACAAGATTCCTCATACATTTGTCTATCTTTATCATAAATAAAAAAAAAATGTCTACAAGAAATTCAATTAAAATTTTTATGAGCGTTTGAAATTCATATTTTTACAAAATTTGATATTCACTCGATTTCTTATGTAACGATTTTCTTATTTTGTTGTAATTAAAAAACGAATTAACTTGGATACTTGAAAATTTCACAATTATATAACCATTTATAGTAGTTAAAATGTCGTCGAAATTTATAATATTCAAAATTTACAAATTATTTTACACTTAAAAATTTATAAAAATATGTTCTATTTTAGAACTAAGAATAAAAAATTTAAAACAAGGTTCTACGTAAGTAGTTTATACTGTAACCAAAAAATTAAAATACTATTTTCTTTTATATTTATTTTAAGTTAAAATTCGGACGAAATTAAGAATCATAAATAACCTAGAACAACAATTTTACCTAGTTATTTTGTTGTAATTTAAAAATATTATTTTTGAGTACAAGAAACTTCTCAAGTATATTAAAATTATTAAATTTAAAATTTAAAATAAAAATACTTTGTACAAGTACTTATTTCAGAAGTATTTAAAATACATATTTGAGTATTTAAAAAGTATTTAAATACTTTTACTCAAGTACTTTATAAACTATCTGATTGACCGACCGTTACGCTCAAAATCATTTTTCTTTGTGCCTAGATACAATAATTTTATGTCATTGAATTAAAATTTAACACATTCATTACACTATTAATAGTTGGTCACTTGAATTTTTATTTTTTACTTTTAATCATTTATAGATTCCACAATCTCAAGAAGAATGGTTAGCTGTTGCAAAAGGGTACGAAGAAAAATGGAATTTTCCACATTGTCTCGGTGCTATAGATGGAAAACATATACAATTACAAGCTCCCGTAAACAGTGGAAGCCAATACTTCAACTATAAGTCTACATTTAGTATTGTGTTGATGGCTGTCGTGGATGCCGATTATAATTTTTTATTTGCTGATGTTGAATGTCAAGGGAGAATTTCAGATGGTGGAGTTATTAAAAACACAGAATTTTATAAGTCTTTAGAAAATAAGACTTTGATGATACCCGAACCAACATATTTGAAAAATGTGGAAAATAAACTGCCATATGTTTTTGTCGCTGACGAGGCATTTCAACTAAAAGATAATATTATGAAACCTTTCAGTGGTATTCAACAAAAAGGCTCAGTTCAGACTTCAGGGATCATTTAATTATCGGCTTTCGAGAGCCCGCAGAGTCGTGGAAAACGTTTTCGGAATTTTATCGGCAGTATTTAGGGTTTTACGAAAACCGATGTTGTTAGAACCTAATAACGCGGAGACAGTAGTTTTCGCGTGTATTTATATACATAATTTTTTAAGAAAAAAAGAAATTTCAAACAGTGGTTTTACATATGATGAGGAAAAAGATGGAAATATTAATGAAGGTACTTGGAGGCAAGATAATATTGATATGGGATCTTTTAATCCATTACCAAGAGTCGGACGAAAACCCACAAGAACGGCTGAGGAGATAAGACTCGAATTCGCCAAGTATTTTTTTTCAGAACGTTTACCGTGGCAAGATAATTATGAGAAATTGTTAATTGAATAGTATTGTTTTATATTTTATCAAAATCATCAGGAATTTTACTTATTGGTACTACGAGTAAAGATTTTTTCGTTTAAACTTGTGAAACCTTTTATGTTAAATAATATTTGATTTATTTTATATTTTGATTGATGGTTGTTTAAATATATTAAAAATTAAAATAAAAATTTGTAAGAAAATACTAATCACAAAATACTATATAGACATAGGTACACGATATACTGATATTCAGCCTGTGTCGATACTTACTATTTGATTTAATATATTCATCGAATCTTTTGTTTGCCTGGGTTTATATTTCTCCTTCAAGAATTGCATTTCATTGAATGCAAACCATTTTGATTTATACAAATCATCTGTGACAGCTCCTGAACGACGAGAAGAGTCTTGAATTAGTCGTTCTCGACGATAAGACCCTTGAAGGCTTTCTATTTTTTTTTTTAATATTGGTCACATCTGTGTTCAACTTAGCGGCGATTTCTTGCCAATGGTCGAATTTTATTTTATTATTTTTATAATTTTTATCCAGTGGATCCCAGAGACTTCTTTTTTCTCTATACAACTGTATGAGTTCCAAAGATTTGCAATCTGGCCACTCCATGTATGCAAAAACAACTAAGTACTTATAAATTATCAAAATAGTAAAATAATAATAGTTTACAATAGCACTTAAAAAACTTAATAAACACTTCACAGTTGACGCAGTAATGCCGAAATGTGAACGCACGACAACATTTGATCGAACGGCGTCCCAAACAAAATCAAATTTCTTTTGATGTACCACTACCAGAGCGAACAGGTCCGTACACGTACGAATGGTGTTCGTACTCAAACGGAATTTGTCTCGACCAATTCATATGGTCGTCCGATCGAACGTACGAAACCGTTCGTGCGACCGTGCGTTTTGGTGGAGACGCACCTTTACACTATTTAAGTGCCCCCACGTCAGGATAGCCATATGTTGACCATTCCGTGAACATTACTTTTATTGATTTAAAAAGAAAAACCATGTTTTAATAACTGCAATGTAAACTTTATTATAAGACACTTTTAGAAAACCAAAAAAAAAATTTAGAAAAAATTATACAGTAAGAGAACACATTAAAAAGTTCAAAATAAAATGTCCAGAATCTTAAACAGAAAAAACAATATTGAAAATGATTAGCTCATTTCAGAATGATAATGCAGAGGGCACCTGCAGGATATCAATATTCAAGTCGGTGCAAAAAATTTAACTAGAGTCAAATTCCTAAAAAAAAAATTGAAGGGGAGTGTTGGCGCCCGCAGGCAGTTGCATTTTAGAAAAAAAAAAAAATTTAGAAAAAATTATACAATCAGAAAACACATATGAATGAGTTCAATTTTACCATCTTCAGATTCATAAACAGAAAAACAACTGACCATGATAAGCTAATTAAAAAATGATAATACAAAGGGCACCTGAAGGTAATCAATAAACATGTCTGTCCAAAAAATTCTACTAGAGTCAAATTCCTAAAAAAAAAAATTGAAGGGGAGTGTTGGCGCCCGCAGGCAATTGCATTTTAGAAAACCAAAAAAAAAATTTAGAAAAAATTATACAGTAGGAGAACACATTAAAAAGTTCAAAATAAAATGTCCAGAATCTTAAACAGAAAAAACAATATTGCCAATGATTAGCTCATTTCAGAATGATAATGCAGAGGGCACCTGCAGGTTATCAATATTCAAGTCTGTGCAAGAAATTCAACTAGGGTCAAATTCCTAAGAAAAAATTGAAGGGGAGTGTTGGCGCCCGCAGGCAATTGCATTTGAGAAAACCAAAAAAAAATTTAGAAGAAATTATACAATCAGAACACATATCAATGAGTTCAAACTACAATCTTCAGATTCATAAACAGAAAAAACAACCATTGTGGGTTCAAACTAAAACGACCAGAATCTTAAACAGAAAAACAACTGACGAT